CGATAGAAATGAATTTAAACACAATAAGTTATTAAAATCTGAAAATTATTTAACTTTAAACAAAAAGGGTTAAACAAATTAGTAAACTATTTCTATGAAGTAATTAATACTCATCTCGAAGAAATGAAAGCAAATCTGTAATGAAAATATGAATAAATGAATCGAAATCACCTATAATTAAATTAATTTGCAATAGAAAGCATAGTGGAAAAGTGAACTTAAAGATCTGATGGATATGTACGATCAAAGAATTTAATCGTATTGCGTCATTTCTTATCTTTCTAATTTTACTATTAACGACCGCTCTAGCTTATCAGTTATTAGTGAATGGCTTATTTGATCATTTATTTCTGCAAAAACTGTACAAAATAAAAATTTCTTCAATATTTTTGAAAGTTTAATTATACATATATAGTGTAATGAATGATAGGAAAGGGAATTTTGAAGTGGTGTCATTGCAAGCGATGATGATTGTTAGCATTTAAAGGGAAAAAATTGAAAAATTCATAAATTTTTTAATAAATTTCTTGCAGAGAATTGAGGATGAGTAGAATAGCAAAGGACAAGCACTCCGTTCAATGCAAAATTGAATCATTTCATTCAAGACCCAACTCTCCGCTTTTGTAAACAACACAATTCATTACCAACCAACCAAACCAACCAGCCAATCATCACAAGCATCATTTAAATAATACAAATGCTCAAACATATTGATTATTATTTCAAACTTACTTTACCAATATTTTTCTAATTCAAATTATGTCCTATATTAACGTATCATAATTCATTCTCAAAAGTTATCAATTCATGAAATTAATATTAAACTGATAATTAGAAGCTTACTTATTTATTACTTACATATAAAAACAATAAAATGGTTACATTTTTATCTTATTTTAGTTGTTCTTAAAATTGGAATTTATATAAGAAGAAGTTTATTTGACGTTTATTTAATTTGATTAAGTTTTATTCGTTGTGCACGAAAAAAGATAATTTTTGCTGCAATAGCAAAAGAAAAACAATCCTTGATGTTTCTAATGAAAACTTTTAATATAATATGTGACAGTCAATTAGCTATATTAATATTTTAAATGAAATTTTTTGAATAGAACGATATAGTTATTGCAAATGAAAGTCTTAAAACGATGGTTTTAGCAAAATTTCATTATTAAAAGAAAATATTTGAGTTTATTATTCTCTTTTGATCAGAACTAAAAGTTTTCTAATCACTTCTTCCTCTCTAACTTTAACTGACCACAAACAATAAATCAGTGAAGTAAAATAAAATCGAAAGACATTGTGTGACAATAAAAGGATATGTAATCAATTCAATGTTGACAAACCTATGGATTGGTTGCTTGGTTGTATTATTAATTCAACAAAACTTCTACACTTTATTTCATGTTAGAGTGATTCGATCACTACATAACTGCTTTGCACTTTGTAAGTTCTAAAACTTCTAATTTTAGTTTTACTCTATCAAAATTTGCTTTGTTCTAAAACTAGATTTTTAAAATTCTAAAAAAGTAGCGGCAAAAAAATTTCATAAATAATTAGAAACGATAATGAACTTGTAAAATTTTAAAGAGTTAACCGTAATAACTTGAAGATATTAGGAATAATTTTTTACATTTTCAATGAAAATAAAATTGCTATTTCAAGCAGGAAAATTGAAGACATTTTAATTATGTTTTTATTCAAAAGTATGCAATTTTACATTTTATTTGATGAAATCCTATACTTTGCTATGAAATGTACCATATAATAGTTAAAATGTGACATAGTAGATATGATATGATGAAGAAAATGTGACACGAAAATTAAACTTATGCTACTTCTTGTATGGATGAAATAATCTTTCAATATTAAGAAATTTCAGTTAACACATTTGCAGGAATGGATCAAAACTGATCACTGATATGAAGATATCAGCTTAATCCATATCATAAAGTTTTGATTTCATTTTAAATTGAATGTTACAAAGGAACAAAGATTTGGAAGACAGAGTATTACAGAAATATATTCTCATATCAGTGAGAAATTTTAATACCCATTTAGTGATTGGTTATTAATCAAATTTACGAAAATTATATTACTGAACGATGATAATATATATAATGAAATGACTTCAAATTGTTGCAATTTAAAGGTTGATTATTGCAATTTAAGAGAAGATGGAATATTGGTCGTTTGACATTTATAATTTCAGTCCTTAATTTCTTCCTCTACGCATTTCCTGTATCGCTGTGATATTTCACAATTATTGTTGTTGAATTATTCTTTTCTTAGTGGACAATGGCTTCAATCTTTTCGACATCAAAATTTCACCTCTCTTTTTTATCTCTTTCTCTCTTTTAGAATAACACAATAAAATCCTTCACCTTATTTGAGATATATGCACAAATTATGGTTTAAGTTTATACATAGGCAAAAATATCAAAATATCAGAAATTTTTTTTAGAATTTTTTTTTTTTAGAATTAGAAAATATCTGAAAATTTTTTTTTTTTTTAGAAGTAGAATTAGTTTTTAAAAGTTTTCATCTTAATTAATTAACTGAAATTAGAATTAATGTCAATTTTATGAACACTGATTCATCGTTTTGTGTGTTACTCATAGCGCTGGAACAAAATAAAAAAATGTTTATGCGACATATGTCGCGAATTATAATTTCGCGAAAACTCCTATCTAAAAATAATCCCATAATATCATAAATTATCTCTACATAAATCTAATTTCTTAAGATTTTTCACATGTGATTTTCATCATAGATACGTTCAATTCTCACATTGTAAATTCTCAATTTTTTTTAGACACTTCCAACTCTTCAGACATTGTAAAACAATCTTATAGTATCTTAAATTATCTCTCTTTAAATCTAGTTTTTTTGGTTTATTACACATGTAATCTCATATCATAAATTCTCAATTCTCATGAACATTTCCGATTCTTCACACTTTTATTTAGACACGCCAATTACCACTCATATAAAATTCAATCCTAAAAATTACAATTATTTTTTGTCTTTAAGGTCGATTACTACTCGGTTAACCAATTTCAATCCTCCGGTCTTCTTTTATAATTTCTTCACTTTTTTTTATGCTCGGTTTGTTAACATTACGTTCTAGAAAAATAAAGGTTTATTAATCTTCCCATAGGATATTGCAACTATTCAATAAATATCAACCAGACAACCTTTCATGACAACATATGTTAAGATATAAAATGAGGCCTAGCATCTTAAATTATATATGATTTTTATCGAAATAATGAAGATACTCCATTGAGTGAGAGCAAGAAATCGGAAATTGTATTAATTAGAAATCTTCAATCAATATTGTAAAAATTTTAATGTGAGTGGAAACAAATTTTCAGTATTTGAGTATTTTAAGCAAATTTTATACGGTATAAATTAATACTCCAAACAAAGTAAATAAGCATTAGATCGAACTTTAAGTGGTAATTTGTTGATAGAAAAAAAAATGCGTAATTTAAGACAACCCATGTGGGGTATCAATAGAATGATATAATGTTTTATTTTTAAGTATAAGCACTTCACTGCAAATATAATATTCTTAAATTTATGAATTGCTAAAAATCTTCATTGTATTTTCGATCTTAGCTAAAGGAATCATAATGATTTTCAAATTAAACAGCATTTAAAACGAGACATAAAATCGAAAATGTCTCATGTAAAATTGTTTAGAAATAAATGAATAATTTTTAAAACTTAAAAAAAAGAACAGAAATTCATTATTATAAAAAAAAAAATGGAATCTTTACAAAAATTTTAAAGAAAAGATTTGAATTTTCATTTATTTTTGAAAAAAAGATAAAGCAAGAAAGGCACATGAAAAATTAGTTATACGCACAATAATTATCTAAGTCCAATACTATTTGTATGCCAAAGTCAAATTATAAAGCAATTAAATACCAAATAGTCATTTGATGAATTTGTTGATTATTTGATATGTTAAGAATGTCAAATAATCGTGGTTTGGTGACAGTTCCAAAAAAATTAATTGTAAATATTTAATCACAAATAAGGAATTTCGCATCCTATATTTATTTTAACATTTTTACTTATTGGAAAATTTAGCAAACATCATACAAAAAGCATAATTATTGGTGGGAGAAAAAGTGTCAAATTGTAAACTAAAATTCAAAAGTTAGAGAATTAGAAATACAACTGATAATCATTAAAAATATTGCAGCTATCATCAAGAAAAAAATTCAAGATGACAAATATGACACATCCATTCAAATAGCTTATTTATACCACTTAAAAAATTTCCAAATATAATCTAAAATGAGCCATTTTTGTCCTCAAATTTTTCCGAAACAACAATAAAGTATGAGAAAAAGCAGAACGAATAAGCTATTATCAAGAAATGCCAATTGAAAATTATGATTCTAAAGGCAGTTTTTGTAGGATTACTCTGAGATTTAAGAGGATAATGCTAATTTGGAATTGTTCAAATTTGTTGAAAAAGTGAAAAAATGGACCAAATTTATAATCCTTTTTGATAACCAATCATTTTCAGCTATTATGCAAACTATTTTCATTTATCTCCTTTTGAAAATAGAAATGGCTTTTAATGAAAGCAAATGTTTTTCAGCGAATCATATTTCAATAAATGAAAAATGACGAATTTTTCACCGTATATTTAATAAAAAAAGAAAATTAAAAAGCAAAGGACAAAATCGCACTAAACATTTGTATATGTGAGAAAGATTAATGTAAAATAATGGAAGCGAGACATTCATGCATTAGTTTTCAAAAAAAAAAAAAAAAAATCGAAATGTTTATGATTGACCTTCTCTTCCTCGTTTATATCATTTTAACTAATTACTGCTGATGGAATGAAATAAATAAAAGCATTTTGTTTTAAAAATTTAAATTAACAATAAATGAAAGGAAATTCAGACTAGGATATTGAAAGATCGTTGAGTTGAGAATCAATTTCGAATAGAAATTATTTGATAATAAAGCGATGGAATTTAAGGCCAAAAAAGCATCATTAATGATATTAATAAAATTAATGAATGAATTTCTATCCATAAGCAACCAGCAGTTTGTCCTTCATCATCATCATTACTGCTGTCACCAGCTTCAACTCTTGTCTCAGTTAATTCAGCTGATGTACTACCAGTATCATCATCCACTGATAGCAATGTTTCACCAGCTATAAAAAAATGGTTCGAAAAAATGTAATATTGAAAATACCATCCTTTATTATGTTTAAAAATCTTAACCTCAATCTTAATAATAATTTCATTTGTTTTTTGTTTTTTCCTTTTTTTTCGAATTTGCTGATTTTTTTCATGCATTAATTTTTTTAAATTTCTGATCAAAAAAAAAACAATACAAATGGAATAGAAATAGTTAATAATTAAATTTTCGAATTATGTTCACACTTTCATACCTTCTTGACCATCCATTTCACATCCTTCTGTTGCTTCAGCATATTCTTCGCCCTCCTTCACCTTATTTTCAGTTACCTCATCTAAATTCTCTTCTTGAAATTGATCATATCCGACTTTGCTTACATCATTTTTTGAGGATTCATCCATCTCACCATCAGACGATTCAGGCATTTCATCATCTAATGCCTCATTTTCAGCCACTACTCCACAAGTTAATCCTGTGAAACCTTCATAACAAACGCATTTTCCACATTCACAGCTACCTTGTCCACTGCAATTTTCTGGAAAAGAAAAACAAAAATTCCGATAAGCTACATTAAACAATTAAAGAGTGAAATGTTGATAATAAAGTTTACATCCTAAATTTTTAAAAAAATCCACAGGAAAAAAGTTAAACATAGATACAATAAAGAAATAAGTAGAAAATTTGATTCACACACGCTCATACTATAGAAAATAAAACATTTGCACAAAAATAATTTTTTTTTTCATATAATAATTTGAAAAAAAAAAACGCATATGCAAAATTTTTAATATAAAATAAAAATTTTCACAATTCTTCCTGAAACTTACTCGCCTTCTAGACATGAAGAAGTATCGAGAGTGCACGAGCAATCATCACCTGCATAACCTTCTTCACAATGACATTTGCCACATTTGCATTCACCCTGGCTTGCATTCTGTCATTAGAAGTTGGACATGACATATTTTTACATTCGCAATGATCTCCACGAACCTATAATAACTGAATTCTGCAAAAGTTTCCTCATATTGCATTGCATCGATATGTAGATCAATGTATAATAAATATTGTATTATATTTTTTTTTATTGTATTCGAATTTAAATCTTTTAAATTTCGAAATTAAAGTCGAATTTTGAATTCAACTAAAATACTGCAGTCAAAGGAAAATTTTTCATTTTAACAAATAAATAAATTTAAAATTCCAAAAAAATAGAGATAATCAGTTGTCCATGCCTACGTATTCAGCGTATATAACGGAATTTCGGTGTATCTCAACTCTTTTTCAAATAATAGACATAATTCTAAAGTTAGTATTGGGTAAAATTGATTTAGTAAAACGCTAAATACTTACGTGTTCGACGCTGCAATCACAGCTACCGCATTTACACTGACCATTACCGCTACAAACTAAATCTTTCGGAGTTCTAAAATGATAATAAACGTTTGCTTTAATCTTTTCCACTTTAATTTATTAGAATGATATCTTATCAAGCTATTTGGTGAGATTTATCATGCTATGGTATGAATTATAAATTAACTTGAATTTCTATGAATAAAAATATCTTTTAAAGTATGCATAATATTATAATATCACTTTAACTCCTTTAAATTCTATTTATTTGAATTAAATTTAATCATATAATTATCAATTCTTACTTTCTACATCTATTTTCCAATTCCTGAGCTGATAAGGCGCTGTGCTGCTTAAGTCACATTCACAGTGATTTCCATTTACCTGGTTGACATTCACATACACACAAATTAAATCACCTGCGCCATAACATAATGGTGATAGCTTTTCCTTGAAAAATTCGCTTAAATAATATGAGAGAATTTTACTTAAAATTTTATATTCTGCTTGAAAAAAATTTTGTAAAACATTAAAACTGCTTTATACATCTGGAAAAGATATATGTATCCATAAAATAACCTGATTCTGCACTTTTTCACATTCACAACCACATGATGGTGTGATATACATAGCAGAAACGGTTTGATAACCATATGCGCCAATAGAAACCGCATATCGCCTCCTGATTTGCACTCGTTCAAGAATACTTTAGCGAAAAATTCGATTTGATCACCTATCGAAACATTTGGACATTGCCACCCTTGTACTCGCTTGCTGCAAAATACATTTTTAACCTTTTTTTTTAAATTCATAGAAATTGAATCAATTAATAGTTTGAAATAAAAAAGCAAAGTAGTTTCATTTTAAATAAATGTACAAATGAGAAGATATAAATGTAAACTAATATTTTAAGAAATATTTAATAATTACATATTTGATAAATTTCAAATTTAATAAAATATACCCTCAGAATGGAAAAGTCGATATCAACACCCAATGATCGAAACTTGCTGGTTTGTATAACGAAATCACGCTGACTTGATTGCTGTGGCGTGCAGGTATTTGAATGGTATTTCCATTACATCACCTGAAAAAAAAAAGGAAAAAAAGAATCATTTTGATAGAGAAAGCAATCACACAGTGTAATTTTGCTAAGTTTTGGAACAAAAATTAAGACAGTTGTAAGTTTGATGGATTTAAAAAGGCATTAATAGAGAAATAGGTGAGTGATAGTAAAGCGATAGCCTAAAATGAAATATTTTATTTCAAAGATTTACAAAATTCACAACAATGAATTGTGAAAATGAATTGTGTCATGAATTATTTTTATAGTATTGGTTGTGATTGGATAGCAAAGGCAAAAAACTAGACGAAATTGAAGAAATGTAATACCCATGGATTAGTGCAACTTGTGATGGAAGATTTTCAACACTTTTGCAGTACAGGTAAATTCAGGTAAATAATTAATTGGAAAGATGAGAGGAAAAGAACTGATTAAGTGAGTATAATTAGCGGAGTAACTTGTAGTATTTTATTATTTGATTAGCATAAACTATAAGAAATGCTGAGGAATGCACTAGTTTGTTGTTTTTGATTCAATAATTATTACTAATTGCTTAATTACTTATCACGTCTAACCTAAGAAATAAAAATTTTAAATTTTCATCAATAAAATTCTTTTTATTTTTCTTACTTCTTCTCATATATACTTCTTCATATACAAAATTTAAATCATTTTTGATGATGAACCATTTTGTTGTGATAAGAATTTTTCAAAAAGTGCATACAATTACAAAAACATATGTTTGTTCGATCAGATAAGTTGATCAAGCGATAATAAAATGGTGATTATAGTTGTGACATGGAATTTGAAATTTGAACATTTTTAACATTATTTTCAAAACTGCTAAAATTTTTTCATTCTCGGAATTTTGTTTAACTTTCTTTACACAGCAATGATAATTGGTTGCTACTTTGTTTATATGCTTCTTCTTCAGCACTATTTTGCTATTTATATGTTAAAAAGTGCATTTATTTACAAAAACAACACACACACACACACACACACTTTTTTTTTGTTTTTTTTTTTCCAACTTAGTTTATTAAGCAATGTTTTCTGCTTTTTAAATTAGCAATATTTGTCGACGTGAAGTTTGTACTGTTCAACTATTTATCACTAATATTTGAATTGAATCATCAAATTTGAGCATAATAATAGACAATTTATTGCTAACTAAATATATTGTTGCTTTTGAATTGAATTATAAGTTTAAGCATGACAAAGGAAGAGGAAACAAAGAGAAAGACTAAATGATCGGATGATTTGCGTCTTATTTTTCAAATCTTACCAAATAAACAAAGGATATTTACTTAACAAAGAATGAAAGAAAAAGTATGTCAAATTACTGACATTTTAAAATAACCAAGTTCATTTTGTTATATGAGAGTTTTTTTCTGAGAGAAATGAGAATTTGAAAGAAATAATTATAGCATTAACTTCTTTAGCTGAGAGTGAAAAAATTTGAAGATGCAAATTCTAGCATTTATAGTATTTTCAAATAGATCAATTTTATCAGTTACACATGAGAAGACCTATTTTTTTTTGCTATTTCATAGAAGTGACAAATTTGGATGCGATATGAGATAGGATACGAGGTAATTAAAAATTTATGGTTACCATTTCATTCTCAAACAACTTGTTGTGGTTCGAGTTGTACAATCGTTATACCATCTGCTTGTTTACTTCTTAATGGCAATTCTAAACAATAATTAATTTTGAAAATTTCAAGAAAAATAAGTTGGAAAAATTAAAAAAATTTCATAGTGTCTTTAATTTTTGCAGTAATAGAAAATTTCCACGAATTTTCATCTATAAAGTGCAATTTAGTTGTCTTACCTAAAGGATAAATTGCTATGATTAATGAGTTGCATAATTGAAGCTTCTGAACTAGTTAAATTGTTCTAAATTTGTTTAGATTAAACGAAAAAGATTCAAAATAAATATTACATTTTGCGGTACAATTCGAACTTCTGTAGTCGGTGAATAGATAAGCGATGGAGCGCATTTGCCTTGAAATTCAGATTTTAAATCACATCGTGATGGACCTACCAAATGCTGTAATATTTCAAAACTATTCTTCCTCATAATTTATTATCAATTCGAAAACAAATTCACAGAAAATATTTATGCACAACGGTTACATTAATCTTAATATTCCTTAAGGTTTTTTTGAAAGTATTTTTTTTAATTTAAACTCAGATAATATTAGTTATACCCAGATAATAAATTAGTTATACACAGATAATAATTCAGTTATACTCAGATTATAATCCAGTTATGCTCAGATTGTAAATTAGTTATACTCAGATAATAATTCAGTTATACTCAGATAATAAATCAGTTATACTCAGATAATAATTCAGCTATAGCCAGATAAGATTATAACTCAGTTGTACTCAGATTATAATTCAGTTATACTCGATAACAATTCAGTTATACTCAGATTATAAATTTTATACTCAGATAATAATTCAGCTATACTCAGATAATAATTCAGTTGTACTCAGATTATAATTCAGTTATACTCAGATTATAATTCAGTTGTAATCAAATTAATATCTGAGAAATGGTATGAGTTAATGAATTAATCAAAATATCTTCTTGTGATATTGTTATATCTGTGGAGAAATGGACGAGTTAATGATTTAATCGAATTATGATATTGTTATATCAGTAGAGAAATGGTATGAATTAATCAAAATATCTTCTTGTGATATTGCTATATCTGTGGAGAAATGGACGAGTTAATGATTTAATCGAATTATGATATTGTTATATCAGTAGAGAAATGGTATGAGTAAATCAAAATGTCTTCTAGTGATATTGTTATATCTGTGGAGAAATGGACGAGTTAATGATTTAATCGAATTATGATATTGTTATATCAGTAGAGAAATGGTATGAATTAATCAAAATATCATCTTGTGATATTGTTATATCTGTGGAGAAATGGACGAGTTAATGATTTAATCGAATTATGATATTGTTATATCAGTAGAGAAATGGTATGAATTAATCAAAATATTTCTTGTGATATTGTTATATCTGTGGAGAAATGGACGAGTTAATGATTTAATCGAATTATGATATTGTTATATCAGTAGAGAAATGGTATGAATTAATCAAAATATCTTCTTGTGATATTGTTATTCTGTGGAGAAATGGACGAGTTAATGATTTAATCGAATTATGATATTGTTATATCAGTAGAGAAATGGTATGAATTAATCAAAATATCTTCTTGTGATATTGTTATATCTGTGGAGAAATGGACGAGTTAATGATTTAAT